ATCAGTTAATTTAGCCTCCCCACACTTTAAGGTGGTACCTAATTTTCCTACTTGACACATGCAACTGTCTTTTGGGTTGCAAAGGTCAACAACAGGCTGCACACAATTGGTTGGAAACCCACTCCAACCTGGGCTGGCTTTGAACTCATGACCTTTTGGTCAGAGTGAATGCAGCTGACACTCAGCCAGCTGCACAATCCCGGCGCATTTAGTCCAACCTCCTTCATGCCAGGCAGGGAAAACACAATCAAAGCCCTCCATCCAGCATCTGTTTAATATCCTCCAAAAAACCATCCTCCACCAGATTTCCAATGCTGGACAGTCCTTCCTAATAATGTTCAAGTGGAGTCACCTTTCCTGCCACTTGAAGCCTTGGCCACATAACTGGGGCTTCTGGGAGCTGAAGTCCCAAACAGCTACAGGAGCACCTGTCTTGAAGGCCTGCCCAAATTATTATTTATTATTGTTCTGTATGGATAGATTTTGAAGTATCCCCTCCAGCCAAAAGTAAATATGTACAAAATGTTAAAGCACATGGAAAGAATACCCGCTTGCGCCCGAGCGGCAGCCCCTCCGTCCCGGCTCCGTGCCCGGCGTCGCAGAAGCAGAGTCCCCCCGGCAGCCCCAGCCGGAGCAGAGCCCGTCCTTCGGGGCAAAGGTCCGTCTCGCAGCCAAAGGCGAAGCTGGCCAGAGCGTGGTAGTGGGCCAGCAGCACCACCGCGTGCACCAGCTCCGCCAGAGACCAGCTCTGCTCTCCGGTCTTCAGCAACTTCTGTGGGGAAACAACAGTGACAGAGACTGACCTTAATGCCGGGGTCCTAGGGCTCAAGGCAGACCCCCATCGAACCTCCCGACCCACACCTCTAGGCTCCCTTCCACTCAGCAGTCCCCAAGCATGATCTGGTTCAGAGGAAATCCAGGCGGGATGGTTGGATTCCAGCCCTATGAAATATTTCATCACGGGCGCACTTATTATTAGTCATTATTTATTATTATTAATTATTATTTAGTATTATTGTTCATTACTAGTTAGTATTATTATTCTAGGAGTCCCTGGTGGTGCAGTGGGTTCAACTGCTGAGCTGCTAAACTTGCTAACTGAAATGTTGCAGGTTCGAATCCGGGGAGAAGCATGAGCTCCCCCTGTTAGCCCCAGCTTCTGCCAACCTAGCAGTTCAAAAACATGCAAATGTGAGTAGATCAATAGGTACCACTCCAGTGGGAAGATGACGGCGCTCCATGCAGTTATGCTGGCCACATGACCTTGGAGGTGTCTATGGACAATGCCGGCTCTTTGGCTTAGAAATGGAGATGAGCACCATCCCCCAGAGTTGGACACGACTTGGACATAATGTCAGGGGAAAACCGTTACCCTTTTATTATTATTCAATATTTATTTATTTATATCCTGCTTTATCTCTCAACACGGAGTCGTGGGGGCTGTCGTTTTACAAAGTCTTGAGCCTTCTCTGCCAAAAAAGCGAATGCTTCACCAAACTACAAATCCCATTTAATTAAAGATGAAGTTCCCCAAAGAGGAGCTCCTGAAGCAGCTCCCCTTTTTGCTTTGTGTCAGCACTAAGATGACCGTATGACATGAACCTCATGAGCTCCCTCATTGGGGCCAGGTCATTTAGCTCCCCAAAAATGAGCATTTGTCTTGATTAAATAAGGTACCATAAGCACTCAAGTATAAGCTGAGTTTTTCAGCCCTTTTTATGTTGAAAAAGCCCTTTTCGGCTTAGTCGAATCAAGGTTATTTATTATTTTATACTATTGACTATTATTATTACATTTCAATTATTTTGCTCTATTTGTTGCTATTATTACATTTATTATTTTTCTCTATTATTATTATAATTATTACATTTATTATTATTATTACATTTATTCCTTTTCTCTATTAGAATTACATTTATTCCTTTTCTCTATTAGAATTACATTTATTATTCTACTCTTACTATTACATTTATTATTTTACTCTATCATTATGAAATTTATTTTATTTTATTATTACTGCTGCTATTACATTACTTTACCCTATTTGTTATTATTACAGTTATTATTTTTATTTATTATAACATTTATTAATTTACTCTATTAAATGTCAAAGGACATTTGATAGAATGCCAAGTTTTTAAACGTTGTGTTTTCTCAAATACATCTCAATTGTACCCTTGGTTTGCTCCTGATACAATAAATAAATAAATAAATATCCGAGTATATATGGTTTGTACGGGGCAGGTGTACGGGGCAGTCAAGGGGTCCCTCCCCCCAGGCTCACCTCGATGTGTTCTTTGCCGACCAGCCAGGGCCGATGGGCCAGGATCTTGTTGATCTCGCTGAGCTTCCGGAGCTTCGGGGGGATGTAGTCCAGGCCTCGGAGCCAGAGGGGGTCGCCCCCCAAACGCAGGAACTGCAGGACGTGGAGGTTGACCAGGTAGCGGCAGCGGTGTCGGGCAGCAGCCTGGAGAGCCAGACACAGGAATGGTCAGCGGAGTGAGAGAGAGAGATCCCCCAAAATGCCATAGATTCCCCCCAGAGTCACAAGCTACAACTCCCAGTATCCCTTAGCATTCAGCCAAGGTACTTAAAGTAGTCTCAAACAGCATTCATTCTACACTGTAGATGCATTCTGAGCTATATAGGGCAGGCAAGGGCAAACTTCCAGGAGTTTTGGACTTTAAATTCCACAATTGCAGAAGCTGGGGCTAACAGCAGGAGCTCACCCCGCTCTCCGGATTTGAACCACCAACCTTTCAGTCAGCAAGTTCAGTAACTCAGCGCTTTAACTGCTGTGCCACCAGGGGCCCAATAATAATAACAATAATAAATATTATAATATAATATATCATAATAATATAATAATAAGGGTTCGACTTGTGATTGTGTGATACAAAATCCAGCATATATATCTCATTTGCTATGTCATACTGTGTGTTTGTGTCAGTAAAATAATAATAATAATAATAATATCCTATATACTGCCTTGATGCTGACGATATAATCTATACAAATAAAAATGTAATGTTCGTTTGTGGAATTAACATAACTCAAAAATCACTGGACGAATTGATACCAAATTTGGGCACAATACACCTATCAGGCCAGCGAGTGACCATCACTCATAAAAACACTGAAAAGCACAACAGAAGAGACTTTAAAAGCAAAACAAAACAAAAAAAAAACAAAAGGAAATTACACCACATTCGCAAAACCACATATATACACAAACACACATGTATACACATATACATACACATATACACACACAAAACACATATACACTGACTGGGCCACAGCAACGCGTGCCAGGGGATGTCTAGTAGTAGTAGTAGTAGTAATAATAATAATAATAATAATAATAAATTTATATCCTACTTTGATGCTGACTATGATGATGATAATGAAAGCTATATCCTGTTTTGATTTATTTATGTATTTATTTACTGTACTTATATACCGCCTTTCTCACCCCTGGGGGGACTCAAGGCGGTTTACAACATACTAATGGCAAAAATTCAATGCCGACATAAAGTAACACAAAGAAATCATAATAGCTAATGACTATGCTAAAATAACAGTAATTATAGG